ACCTGTTATTCTTCGAAAGCTTATATTTAAATGGTTGGTATTTCAATTTTAGTAATTAGGCTATTATTGGGAGCACTATCATTTAGAGGAAACAAAAATCACAAAACAACCAAGCAAAGTTCTTTGGGTTTTAAATGCATCGTGCACAACACTTTAAGTGTGGTTTGTTCATCTCCAAAGCCAGGCAACCTTTTATTAAATCATGCCTTTGATAGGAGACTAACTTTCTCCCCTTCCCTGTACTCTGGAGGGTGATTCAGGTTAAAGTGATGTTCTTAGTAATAATTAACTCCATAAGATCCATGCTATCATGTATCCAAGTCTTGAGGATGATGCCATTTTGTGAGACCATGACCAAACTGCATCCACGATTATAAGCCCTTCCATCAGTCAACCCCATTGGTAAACACAGGCAGGACTAAGAGGCTCTTCACCTGATGCTGTGCTAGCCTCTTCTAGCAAGACATATGCAAAAAAAAAAAAAAGACGTAGACAAATGCTTGGCACAGAAGAGTAACTGCACTCGAGTGCTTGAGATGTTTATAGCATTAAAGCTGATTAATTAATATCGATAGAGCTAAGTCCCTGAAAAAGTTAAAGGATCATTTTCACAAATGATGAAACTATCAAGATTATGAGAAAGGCATATTATGTCTTTCACCAGGAGTCAGTTTTAGGCCCAACAAAGTGATGTGAAATTAACTATTTTCATAAACAGATGGTCTTTAGGATAATGGCTTGTACTTTTTAATTTCCTTTCTGGCAGTACTTCATGCTGATTATCAGTGATGTCAATAGTCTTCATTAGAAGCTGTCTGATATTGCTGGGATATTTTGTACAGATATATCTAGTTTTTTCCACAATATTGTACACAGAAAGCAGAGAAGTTTAAGAAGGTACAGAAAGATAAAAATTTAATATATTTAAACCAAGGGGAAATGAATCTATATCAAATTCCAAGATTAAAAATTTAAGGTTTTAAGTATTCATTGTGTCTTTTCATCTCCACTGCATTGCCATCATTCAGAAGTCAGTAATCTTTAAATACTCTCACAGAAAACATCTTTTGTTCCTAAACCGTATTCTTAACAAGGGGTAAGTGATGCCCCATTTATAACATTCTCAATTCATAGAGTCCACATGTGGCTGTGTCCTAGCATAGCCAGACAGAGTGCGCATTTCAAAAAACTAAACCTCATAAATCTCCAGAAATTCCTCACATCTATTATTTTTACCTTCTGCTGCTGATGAGCCTGTTGGGCTCTGTACAGAGGAAATTACAAGCGCTCCAGAAGATTTGGCAAGAAGATGCTAGAAGAAAAAATGGGGAAAAAAAAAACACAAAAAACCTTCTTAACTGAGGCATCATATCCAGCTTTGGCTACCATTTACATATTTGAAATTACAGCTAATAAAATGGAAATTCCATTGAAATGGAATAAATTGTTTTCTGAAATCCCTATCTGATTACTGTTGGTGATGTCTGAAATTAAACATGTTAAGCTACACTCAATATACTTTATGGAATTCAACTGGAGGCTAACGTGCTATTGGAAATCTGTCTGTTTATACAATTTTCCAGTTAGGAACCAAGGTACTTGAATCCACCTAAAACTTTTACTCCTGGCCTTGTGATCACTTTCCTAGTAATATATGTTACCAAACAAATCTCTCTTTACTTAATAGATGTTTGGAGGCTGTTGTAACAGCTGCTAACTAGTAAGGAAATGCCAGCAGAAATATTTTATAGTCACACATTTAAATACCACTGGAAGTCAGCTTAGAGTTGATGCCAAGGCAAATGCTTATGTTTAAGGCATATCCCACATAGTGATAAAAAATTAATAGGTCAAAAAAACCTTTCACACGAATTATGTACACACAGTGCAAACACAATCAAGTGAACAGCAAAGGTCTAACCACCAGGTTTGTTGTTTTTTCTGTTTACTCATTCTAAATATCAATTTTCCACCATGTTGACTGGCTATGTCATCATTCGAAGACACCATCTCCTGACCCATGTAAGAAAATGGTCTTAAAGAAAACTTAACTCCTTTTGTGTTCCAACGGGACTTAATTTGTTAAACATGTAATTGGTATTTGCTATTATATTTCACCCATTAGAAAGATAAAAATGAGGAACTAATTATATGTGGATTTATTTAAAAGGATTCACCCTTCAAATAAAATTGGAGGTGAAATCTACCCTAAAGAACAAACAAAACAAAACTTCTGAACAGACATCTCCTGTTTCTAACACTACATAAAAAGTAAAAATCGCAATTCAACAGATCTTAGCAAAAAGAGGTGTCATAAAGTAATCAATTAACCTCAACCATACAACTTACCCAATCAGCAAATACTCACACACATCAATTACTGGCCCAAGCATATAGTTGATATGCTAACCATTTACCTCTGTCGGCACAATTTTTAGCTGTTAACAAACCAGCCAGAAATAGGTAACCAAGGACTTGTAAGGGCCCTATCCCACTAAAG